AGTTGAGCTTTCAGTATATAGTAACAATTCATATTTCATATTTTTATAAGCCAGGGTCCGAAACAATTAAATGCATACATAAATGGCATTTTGAAAGTGAAAATAAATAATAAAAGCATAACATTATTATAACCTTCATATAACAGTGTATTATAACCTTTATATAAAAGTTTTTTTTAAAGTTTAGTGACGTAAACATTTAAAGTAAAAGTCATATGGTGCTTGTAGTTGAAGAAACACCCCAATAAGATATATATGATCTGTTATATTTAACTTTTTTGCATTGTATGCAGGACATAATGGGTTGTGTTGTGTATACGTTTGTGTTTTCCAGTGAAGGTGATAAAGTGAAGGTGGCTCAGGGAGTCTCTGGCTCAGTTCAGGACAAAGGCTCAATACACAAATTCGTTCCATACCTCATCGCTGGAATTCAACATGGCTGTCAGGATATCGGTGGAAAGAGCTTGTCCATTCTGAGGTAAGCGTGTCATTTTCCCTTATAGACATCTGGAAAGCTTGACAAAAGACCTCATGAAATCAAAATAGCAGTTTTGTTTCTTTTAATTCATGTTTATTAGCTTTAAGCCCATCTCTGTGCTGGTATATGCTGTATTTTAGTTCCTTTAGGAATCCACTAGCAGCCGTTTAACTAAAGTCTTTTTAACTAAAACTTTTATCAGATATACACTGCTGGTTAAAAGTTTGGGTTTTTCAACAAGGCTGTATTTATTTGATAAAAGTACAGTGATATTGTGAAATATTTTTACAGTTTAAAATTGTTCTGAAATAGAATGTTTTCTATTTAATATATTTAAAAATGTAATTTATTCCGCAACATTGACAGTAATAAGAGCCATTGTTAATAATTGAGCACCAATAAAATTGAGCTTTGCCATCACAGGAATAAACTACATTTCAAAATATATCGAAACAGAATTATTAATTATTTTTTTTTAAATAAAATTAAATAATTTTTGTATAATTCAATTTATAGATTTTAATTTTATAATATTACTTTATAATATTAATATTAATTTATATAATTCATAGTTTAATTTGATAATATTTCACAATATTAATGTTTTTACTCTTGGTGAGTGTAAGAGACGTCTTGGAATAATAATTAAATTCCAATTAATTATCCAAAAATTTGGCCGGTAGTTTTTTCTTCTGGAAAAAATTAACTAAAAATATTATACACATTTTTCACTAAACCATCTTTTGTACAGTAATTCTCTTTAGAAAAGAGTATCCTCTTTTATTTAAATGATAAATATCACCAACAATCGACTAGCAGCAGTAGCTAGTAGTGAATCATGGTTCACTGTCTTCAGTTGTACTAATGCTTCTACATTATTTTGTTTCAAACATCAGAAATAAATGGAATTTATTCATTCTCAATGTGTCTTCATTGCTTCCATCCATGGAATAAGCTGACAAGTCTGCATTCATCAAGCTGTAATGTAAACCAAAGGCTACTGACTATATAAAATATTAAAACTTCCTAAAAGAAAACATAAACACGAAAAAGAATGGAGTCTGTTTTTACCTACATCTGTGTAAGTCTCGCCTGCGTTACATATAGATCGATGATGTACTCTGGAGAGCTGAAGTTTGAGAAGAGGACCATGTCTGCTCAGGTTGAGGGTGGAGTTCATGGACTGCATTCGTAAGTATCCGCCCACTCATTTAGCCCCACCCACCTGACCTACCATGTGTGTGTTTCTTTCCTCACACCACATACCCTAAAAAAAAAAAAGCTGTGAACACATTTCACGTCATTTAGAATTCTTGTGGTTCACATAAAACTAAAAGTTTAGCAATCCCCTCTCTGTTTTTTTTTTGAAGTTCCTCTCAGAGACCCTTAGTCCATCCCTTCATACATTGTCATGGAAAAGTAGAGTTTACATGTGAAACTGTCTTCTCTTCCTTTCTCTTATGCTGTCATCATAGATATTCTTTTGTGCCATGTAAGTATAATAGCGTCTCATGTCTCTTATAATAGTGTTAAGTTTTGGTGGAGGGAATTGTGTTGTAAACAGCGGTACGATCTGGGCTCTTTAGTGGGCATTGAGACTATTTTAGTTTCCTCTTACTGTCGTATCATGTAGACAAACCTAGTGTCCACTATCCCAGTGTCCTGCTGTGGTTGTGTACTCGTAACACTCTCAGAGGCTTGTCTTTGACAGGGAGATTATCTTGAAAGAAACCCACTCCCACTTTTAAAAGGATAGTTTACCCAAAAATGACAATTCTGTCGTCATTTATCCACCTGAAAATTTCAGAGCCTTTTTTATTTGCATACTTCGCATGCAAATGGTGACTAGAGGCTGTCAGCCTTCAAAAAGGACAGAAAAGACCATGAAAGTACATTAATGTTCAAAAGGTGGGCTCAGTAGGATTTATTTATTTATTTGAAGAAGTCTCTTTTGCTCACTTATGTGAAATGATATTATGTGAAATGATATTAAATATTATTACAATTTAAAATAACAGCTTTCTATTTAAATATATTTTTTAAATGTAATTTATTCCTGTGAAGCAAAATTGAATTTTCAGCAACCATTACTCACATGATCCTTCAGAAATCATTATAATATGCTGATTGGCTGTTTAAGGAAAATTTCTTATTATTAATGCTAAAAAAGGGTTGTGCTGCTTAATATTTTTATGAAAACTTTTTTCAGGATTCTTTGATGATTAGAAAGTTCAAAAGAACTGCTTTTATTTTAAATATAATTTTATAGAATTATATAGAATTATCTTTCATATAAATAAATAAAATATCTCACTGACCCCAAACTTTTGAACTTTTGGTAGTGCATCATAAAAATAATCCATATGACTTGTGCACTATATTTCATGTGATATCTTTGTGTAAAGAACAGAATGGAATTTAAGTCGTTATTCAAATATGACACTAGATTTGACATCTAAGGCCATTATTTCTCATGCGTCTCATAACCAATGACAATAAGCAAGTTCAATATTTGGAAGCAAAAATTATATTTAAGACTGAATAATGTCTTCAATTTTAGTCTGTTCCTTGCTGAAGGGCACTTTTATGATACTTCCATGCTGCTTTTTATATTCATTTTTGGGCGAACTGTTCTTCTAATGGAGTGATTTCATTGAGTTGATTTGACATGTTTGTAAAAAAAACATTTTTCATTTGGACTAATCAATGTGTGGATTTATTAAGGTTGTGTTGCTTTTCTGTTCTCGACAGTTACGAGAAGAGGTTATATTGAACAGGGCAGCAGGGGGCACACAAGAGCCGGACCCAATGTCCCGTCACCAGCCGTCACTTTTGGTAGTGCATCATAAAAATAATCCATATGACTTGTGCACTATATTTCATGTGATATCTTTGTGTAAAGAACAGAATGGAATTTAAGTCGTTATTCAAATATGACACTAGATTTGACATCTAAGGCCATTATTTCTCATGCGTCTCATAACCAATGACAATAAGCAAGTTCAATATTTGGAAGCAAAAATTATATTTAAGACTGAATAATGTCTTCAATTTTAGTCTGTTCCTTGCTGAAGGGCACTTTTATGATACTTCCATGCTGCTTTTTATATTCATTTTTGGGCGAACTGTTCTTCTAATGGAGTGATTTCATTGAGTTGATTTGACATGTTTGTAAAAAAAATCAATGTGTGGATTTATTAAGGTTGTGTTGCTTTTCTGTTCTCGACAGTTACGAGAAGAGGTTATATTGAACAGGGCAGCAGGGGGCACACAAGAGCCGGACCCAATGTCCCGTCACCAGCCGTCACCAAACACAGCAGCTAAAAGTGATTTCTGCTATCCTCAACCCCTTGATCCTTTTTCATGGGGTGTATTTCAGAGAGCAAGGTTAACTTACCGTCACATATACTCTGAACTCTCGGTTGATTAACCCAAACCTTGCTTACTTAAGTATATTCACGGTTAACACACAAGACTTTCTCAACAGATCGACGAGTCACCATGGAAACCGACGCAATGAAAAAGCGCACCATAGAGCTGCTTCTTCATTTGATCAGTGGTCATTTACATATTTGATGGGCGTGCAATCATTAAAAATAAAGTGTTTAATCTTTTAATCACTGAGAATAAGAATTAAATTGTTTGTGGGATGCTAATTATATAATAAGAAATATCACATATGTATTTTTATTATAGAAATACACATTAAATATAGATTAAACATTAAAAATGAAAAAAATTGTAATAAAAGCCAGCAACAGTACTGAATGTTCTGTGGACTTTATTGTTTTGATTTTTTATTTTGTTTGGGCTTCCCTGTAAGAAATTAGACTAGGTAGTAGAGAGATTATTTTCAAAATCCTATGAATGTACTGCATCATCTGAAATATGAGGATGCTACGTGTGTGTGTATATAAGAGAGAGTGTGTCTATGAACATTTCTGATATGTGGGGTATGTCTTGCTGGTTCATTCTAATTCGCATTGTCTGTTATTTTAATAGCAATAATACTTTTTTTGTGACCATTGTGGTATATGAGGAAACACATTTGCCATTAGAGTGTTACCAGTTAAATTTTAATGTGATCTAAAAAATGCATTTGCTTTTTTCCAATAGGGCAAGTTTGCAGACTGCTTGTGTCACAATGCTTTTCAGATTACCCAGAGACAACTAGAATGATGTTATTTTATGGACCAGATTGAGTATCAGCCTTAAAGTCAGGTATTACTCTCCTTACACTAGCCAATAATGTACACAGACATGCTCATTTCTTTAGTTTATTTAACAGTTTCACACACTTAACTTAGAAGCATTTATGTATATATCAAACATTCTACAGGATAAAAAAGGTCAGAATTGAAGGACAGTCAAAAGCATTTGCTGTAAAAGTGACACTTTCAACTTGGGCACCATTTGGTAGTTTGCAAAGACTGTTGTGTTGTCATTCTGAATATAATACAGTTTATAGAATAAAGAAAGAGTTTTATAGACAGTGTTTCTTAATTTTTTCCTGTAGTATCAGTTTCTGTCTACTCTATACTTTGCTTAAATCTTTTAAATGTTAATGTATCTCTTTCTAAACACAGTAGCATAATGAGCAATGCAATTCAGAGGTTTACATTGTCATGTAAAAGCATAGACGTATAGGACCATTTACTAGTCATAGAGAGGAAATGCACATCTCAAACATTTGAAGAAAAAAAAAAAGAGAAGCCAAGAGTGAGACAATCTTAAAGTTTTTGCGATGAGCTCCTGCTGTCAGTCACACAGACATGCACTAATAAAGATGACAAATGCACAAGCTGTCATGTTATTACATCTTCATGGCCAACAGAGGGCAGTATTTGTGTAGCAGAATGGCTGTGAGGGATTATGGGTACATGATAAAATAGATTTTAATGAAGCACTAAACGTAATTTAAAAAACAGTTAAAAATGTACTTAAATGCCAAGTGTTCTATTCATACAACAGCTCATTAGCATGGTTTGCATGGTTATCTTCATGCAGCCTTTTGCTATATACATCCTTTCCCATAAGTATAAACATCTAGGTCTCATTCCAGAACAAAATGTTAAGTGACAGGGCTGCCACAAATAAGTGGATTAACACCAATGATAGTGCTGAAATAAAATGCTAATGGTTTCTAGAGAATATGTCTCTATACAGTTGTAATGTTGTCAATGAGGGTTTAGGTGATCTGTGCTGTAGGAGCAAAACCAAAAATACATCTCATCATAAAACATGTTCATAAGTGCTAGCTTTATTGCTAAAAGGTACACAAGCCTCATGTACATTAGATTATTTTTTTAAGTATTTTGATCAAACCAAGCATGTTCAACAAGATTTGTCAAATATGAGAAGTGGATTTCAGAGAATTTCTCACCATTGATAGAGAACATCAGTCACTTAAAGGCTGCAAGTTGCCGTTTTGTCCATGTCATGTCTGCTTCTAAAATAAAAAAATTCTTTCCATTCAAGCAGAGTGCATCAACAGCAAATTCCTCTCCACATTTATATCAAGAGAAGTTCTGTAAATTGGAGTTGTTAGGGTTGAAATTACTTAAAGGTGTTCGGTTAAAGTGTCCACTCCTGCTTCTGGAGGGTCACCCTTCCAGCAGAGTTTAGGTCTAGCCTAAATTAAACACACCTGAAACAAGCAGGTATGTTTAAACTAAACTATGCAGGAAGGTGGACCTCCAAGAGCACACCTCGACACCCCTGTGTTAAACTGAAAAATGTTAATTCTGCAGGTAAGTACAGCACATCCTCTAAAGCACAATCTGTAGCATCTGCTAAATGAATAAATGTAAATGTTGTTGAATAAAGATTTCTCCCCCTATAGGTCGATCGTATCACTACTGATACTGATTGCATCTATTTGCCTGCAGACGTTGATGAATTCAGCCTGAACGGCAAGCTCATCAACATGAGAATTTGTCTCTACATCCACGCTCTCTCTGGTGGACGTAGAGCCCAAGGCCGTGTACCGTCTGTGGAGTTGCTGCCCGGACTGAGAGCCCCTATGTAGGCTGCTCTGGGACTGTTGTGTTGAGTTTAACCCACTGCAATTGACCGAGACGTGAGCTGGTCTCCCAGATAGAGTGCTCCATTGCCTAGGTCGGCTGGGGACTGTAGCGGGGTCCACATCCCCACAGGAGGCAGTGCGGTATAGGCTGGGTTCGGTGGAGTTTCCCCGACAGGGTTGTCCATCCGGGGGTCCGCGTGTGCTGAGAGAGAGCCTGGAAGATCCGAACAGGCTATGCTGGAACAGAGCCTCACTGTTCAAGGCCTCGTCAATGCTTCGTCGCAAGTCGATTGGCGAAGGGGGCCGCAGATCTGCCGTGGAGTCGGCGTCAAAGCTTGCAAAGGATGATGCATGGGATACTTTGCTCTTCTTTGTGGTTTGGGAGAGCTGTGTGCAAGACTCGTGCTGAGGGCTGGCTGGATAGTGGAGGTCCAAACCGTCTGATTCGCTGTGCGGAAGTTCCACCAAGGTGTAGAGCGGCACGCTTTCGCTTTCCCGCCGTACTATTCCCTCACACAACCCCAGCTTCTCGACGGGCCGTAGTGACCAGCCACACCGACTCGAGAGGATGGTGGGTTTGGCCAACATGGCGCCTTCTGTGGGTGTCTTTTTGAAGAGCCAGCTGCAGCCTCCTGGTTTGGAAAGGGGCACTCCGCAACAGAGAAGGGGGTGAGTGATTACAAGAGCGAGTGTGAGACATACTCCTGTTTCACACACTCTGCAGCTGAGCTGAAAGCCCCACCAGGGCCAGGGCATCAGTCCAACCATGACTCCACCGGTCAGCCCTTCAGCATGGAGCATGGCGTAAAGTCGTAGACTGCCACATGCTAGCAGAAACAGGGCAGAGAATACCCCTGTCCTGGCTGCCCTTTCCCACATCCGAGCCTCTGTGAATGGACACCTGCTAGCATGGCATGATGGCCGCTCAGGAGAGCTATCGTTTAGCCGGTAAATGTGCTTGGCATCGGCACGGGCACAGCAGTAAAGAAGCAGGTACGTGAATGACAAGAGAGAGGACATCAACACAAAGGCTGCTGGCGGTAATAGAGGCACAATTTTCAGGGTGGGAAAGAGTTGCAGTATTGCCATGGAAGCCATCACTATGGCTATGTGCAGCAGCACTAGGGCGGCCAACAGGCAGGTACTGCGCTGCAGGGTATTCTGGGAAAGTAGCTGGGTACAAGAGCGAGCAGTTAGCAGTAGAAGCAGAAGGCCAAATGATGCAGTAATACAGGGATAGGCAGCTTCGTGAATCAGTCGTGCCCAGACTATGGGTAGGCGCTCTTTTTGGCCGTATGGATCATAGAGGAGCCATAGAGCTCTGCTGGAACCTGTTAGTAGTTGGAGAAGGTGGAGGAGGCTGAAGTGGGCACAGCCAGAGGGCCAGCGCAATGGCAAACACATCAGGCTGAGCACAGACAGCACAGCCACGAGCGAGAACACACAGCTGAGCCCGTATACCTGCAACTCCCATGCCAGGCCCCATGTTGCCATAGCAGCATTCCAGTCAGCCAGTAAAGGGACCAATAGAGGCGGGGTCTGGGCTTCAGGGGGTGGGGTTATTACACCAGGGGGTGTGGTTTCATACACAGGAGGTGGAGTGGACAGGGTGTTGTTAGTTGAAGCGTGATTCCACGAGGAGTCAGGCGACTGACAGATCCCAGTGCCAACCAGGCTGCAGTCATGAAGTGTGGAAGATTTGCGTCTGTCATCACCTGGAGATGCTGAAATGCAATATATAGCTTGGTTTAAGATGCATTTAGTTTTACATACACACTCAGAAAAAGGCACAAAAGCTGTCACTGGGGCACGGTACACTTAGGTACACCTTTGTACCTAAAGGCTGCATATTGGTACCTTAAAAAGGTACATATTAGTACCTACAAGGTATATATAAGTACTTATAAAATATAACGTTAATTTAATTTAATAAATTAATTCACACAAACATTAAACAATGTTTTATAGATGAACAATGGAACACTTACTGTTGGAACGTCCTGTATTTTAAAATTAAAGTTTTTAACATTGATCATACCAGTGACAAGAAACCACAGCACAAACATTCTTTTTCGATTATTTATGTTATTAATTACTTATTTAATTAAGATTTTTGGCACACTTCTTAGACTTTGCATTAAAACCCCAGAAAAACAATAGGCTAAATAAATACATTTTCCTTTTTTTTTTGTTTTTTTACAAAATTGCTTTAATGAACAAAACAATACTGAGTGAACCATTTCATATTATTTACTCATATATATATATATTTTTTAACTGTTTGTTATAGAATGCTGTTTTTAAAGTGGAGCAAGATATTGTAATGCAGCCTCAAATTAGATTTAGTCTGTTTATGCACCATGAGGTTATATTCACAAAACACAAAGCTAATATTCTCCACAAGCCTGCTTAGGTTTTTTTTTTCCTTCCTATAATGAAGTTACACATGATACAGCACAAGAGGTATTTAAACCGCAGAGAAAACACACAACAAACCACACATTGATGTTTCACAGAGAATCCTGTATCTAGAAGTATACAAATGATCTAAAACAAGAGGTAAGTAGATAACTGTACGTTGCTCCAGTATGAAAGCCAGGGTCATGAATCTCAGGAGTAATATAAGAAGATACACCATCAATCGTAAATATATATAAAACAATGACTGTGTTATTAGCTATGTGAAACTAGGCTGTTGTAAATGGGTCGCACACTTCATCTCTGACACACATTCACATACGGCACAGATAAGAGGGCATTGATCCTGTTGCCGTTCCCATGAGTGTAACTATTTAAAAACTAGTAACTGACACACTTTCATGACATTACATCACTTAAATACCTGTGCGTGGAAGTGAGAAGGAGAATCTGAATACCAATACTCTGCACTAATTGTGGATCAAAAGGCACTTCATTGCTTATTGAAGGACTGATTGATTAATATAGATTATTAGTAAGTGTTTCTGCATGAGTAATGATCCAGACACTGGGACTGAATCTCTGAACCAGCATTAGCCTTTAGCATGTGTTAATTAAGGTCAGAGAATCTAGCTCGAGTTTTCCCTCTACAGATTGAATGATTGACCTTTGTTCACAGGAAGAGATTTCAGTACCACCACCCTTAAAATCTCTTTGGTTGACCAAAAACGACAAAAGAGAAAACAAAACAAAAAGTGTTAATGAAGAGTTGCAATATATAATAAACCCTTAATCTTCCTAGCTCGCCAGTTTCTGCTACAGTTTTATCTTATTTCTAAGAAAAAAAAGTCTTAGCTTTTGTATTGTCAATTTTCTCATGAAATTTTCTTTTAGTAATATAAACAAACGATAATTTAAGGCTATATATATATATATATATATAATTTTTTTTTATTTTTTTTATTTATACTTTTCAGCACCCACTACTCCAGTCTTAGTTGCTTAAAAAAAATATTTTAAAATATATGTAAACCAGTTTTTTTTTTGTTAATTTTATTACTCCTTTTAATGTATTTTGGTCAAATAAATGTAGCCTTAGTGAGCTCAAGAGATATTTTGATTCACTAAAAAGAATTGGCTCATAATCGTAATTTGCATGTGAATCAGATTACACGTACCATATTGTATGTTTGTTTTTACGTGAGGCTAAAATGATAAAACAGGTTACATATGCAAGACCCTGAGCTCAGTTATTTCAAACCTTCATTTTTTTTAAATACATTTTTCTTGTAATCTCTCAGATGCATGTACATTTAGAAGCATTGTGAAGGACTGGAAAGCTCTTGCACTCTGATCACCAACAGAAAAAGATCATGTGTTAGAATAGAGGTCATTCTGACAATGAATGCTTCAGTACCTGCTTCAGGATAGGTTTCAGTGACCTTGATCACAGTGGCGGTCGATTGGCCATTTTCTTCATTTTTCACTTGGTCAACATCCTCACGCTTCTCTCTTTCAGGGTCAGGACTTGTCATATTGAGAGTAGGCTCCGTCAGACTATCTGAGAAAGAGAAAATAGGATTATAAACCTGTTCTCAAACAAGTGGAACGGATAGCTGATGCTAGCTCAAAAAGAAACTACATCATTTGAATTAAACCTGCTTTTGTTCTTGTTTTTTTTTTACCCATAATCCTCAGCCAAACTTTAATTCCAAAAGATTCATACAAAAGAAGCTGTAAATTGTATTTAGTTTCACAACGAGTCGCTAGGGGGCTTGTATCCCACTCACATCTGCAGTGATGAATGGCTTGTTCACTGCTGGAATACTGATGTTTTCACTGCAGCTTGAGGAACAGTAGGCAGAGCTAGTCTTACTGACACAGGCATTAAGAGGAAGCTAATGCCAAAACAGGATTACCAAAGAGATGCAGTAGAAGTACATACCGACATCCCTTTATTACAAAATTTTGATTTGCACATTTACATATTTTATTCAGTCTAAAATGTCATCATCAGTGTGTCAATGTTGTTTTCCAGCAGTGAGGTTGCCCCATTAATCATATTGTACCTGTGTATTTGAAAGAGTGAATGAGTATTAAAAGTGATACAGTAAAAAAGTTTCATGATTCATGAATAAATGACTCTTATGAGACAAATATTTTTAGCGAATCAAAAACATACAGTGCAACCAGAGTAGTCCGATTCATGAACAAATTACTCTTCTGAGCCAATTATTTTTAGTGAATTATAAGCATACAGAGAAACATTAGAAGTCTGATTCATGAACAAATTGCTCTTATGAACCAATTATTTTTAGTGAATTATAAGCATACAGAGAAACATTAGAAGTCTGATTCATGAACAAATTGCTCTTATGAACCAATTATTTTTAGTGAATCAAAAACATACATTGCAGCCAGAATAATCAGATTCACAAACAAACAAACAACTCTTTTGCGCTGATTCTTTTTAGTGAATTAAAAACATACATTGCCACCAGAGTAGTCCGATTCATTAACAAATTACTCTTATCAGCCAAATATTTTTAGTGAATCAAAAACATCCAGTGCAACCAGAATAATCGGATTCACAAACAACTCTTTTGAGCTGATTCTTTTTAGTGAATCGAAAACATACATTGCCAGCAGAGTAGTCCGATTCATTAACAAATGACTCTTATGAACCAATTATTTTTAGTGAATTATAAGCATACAGAGAAACATTAGCAGTCTGATTCATGAACAAATTGCTCTTATGAACCAATTATTTTTAGTGAATCAAAACATATAGTGCCACCAGAGTAGTATGATTCATGAACAAAAGACTCTTATGAGCCAAATATTTTAAGTGAATCAAAAACCTACAGTGCAACCAGAATAATCAGATTCACAAACAACTCTTTTGAGCTGATTCTTTTTAGTGAATCAAAACATATAGCGCCACCAGAGTACTCCGATTCATGAACAAATTACTCTTATGAGACAATTATTTTTAGTGAATTATAAGCATACAGAGAAACATTAGCAGTCTGATTTATGAACAAATTGCTCTTATGAACCAATTATTTTTAGTGAATCAAAACATATAGTGCCACCAGAGTAAATTACTCTTATTATCCAGTTGTTTTTTGTGATTTGTGAATCACAACATACAGTGTGAGAAATATAGTGTAATTCCCAAATAAATGAATCATATGAGCCGGTTCTTTTAACAGTTTAATAAGACAAGTTACTGGTTTGAATTAGTCTCACAAATCCTTCACTGAACAGAATCCATCAGAACGGTTATAACAACTGACTCACTATGATTATTGTGATAAGCCTATTATTATGACTATTTTCAGTGGTGTCTGTATCAAAATGATATATCAGCACCAGACCAACATGAACCATCATGATCCAACATGGAAATACATTTGGTCTACGCTGGCCTTTTTAACAACCAAAAAACTTAGCATGCCTTTTATGCAGGTACACATTTACACGCTATATGAGGTTCTGTCATGACATGCAAAGTTGGCTCTGGTGTATCATTAATTTGATTACCTGTAGGAGCATCTGTCAAATCCTTTGTTTCCTCAGATGGCCGCAGATAGTTTGTCAGCCCTCTTGGCAAAGTGGTACCATCTAAGGTTCCTCTGGCATATGGTGTCTGCGTAGCACCAGAGGACTTCCACAGTATCTGGTAGGTGTTAAATCTGGTTTCAGTAGGAGACTGAGGTGTATATGTCTCTGTATTCCAAGCAATAGGTGTCTTGGACTCAGTACTCCAGGCCTGAGAAGGAAAAGGCTGTAGTGTTGCCAATGAAGATGATTTAAAAGATTTTTCCATATTGACTTGCTTACTAAAAGTTGACCAATCAGATGCCTCTTCATCATTCTGGATGTCTGAAAGAGGTTCAGTGTTAGTGGAAGTCAAAGTTTTGATCCATGGTGTTCTTGAGGCTAGAAGTCTTGACAAACCATGATCCTTCATTGTGACATAGGGGTTTAGATCAACTGAAAGGTCCACCTCAAGGTCTCGCCTAATCTCCTCTGAATGTAATACATCGGTTGGAGTAGTCATGTCCATTTTTGTTGATTGGGGCATCCATTGTGCTGGCTCAGTGTCTGTGCTAGACCAAAAGCGGGCTCTTTCATTTCTATTCAAAGATGCAGCAGACAGACTGCCACACAGTGAGAAACTGAAGACCAGCAGTAGAGCTTCACTGTGAGGGGTCATGCTGACACTCCTCTGAAGATGTTATTCCTTACAATATCACCAAGCTGTCTCCTTTTGACTCTCACATTCTGCACTGGTTCTGGGAGAAGAAGAAAAAAACACGAGATGAGAACAACTAGATTCAACCATAAACTGATTTCAAATAGGCATGCACCAACATTAAAATCCCCCCAAAACAATAATCCAATTATTTCCATGTTAAATAGCAATATTAGAAATATACTTATTCAATCTGCTAATCAGTCAATCAATCTACACTTTTTTTTTGCTAAATACAATATTTATAAATTATTATAAGTCTATCCTTCTTTGCAAAACAATAAAATAAATAAAATTGTTGAAATTAGTATAAAATTATACTTTATTCAAAAATACATTAATATTTATTATAAATCTATACTTTGCTAAATAAAATAAGATCAAATCTAATCAAAATAATAAATTAGTAAAATAAAATTTGCTAAATAATAAAATACAATATAACATAAAAGGGTTAAATGTTTACAATACTCATTTGCTATCACTTTAAGTTAGTGTTGGTGTTATGATAATATTTAAATATTAACATAGGCAGTTTAAATATCCAGTACTGGCCCGATAAATATCCACATTTTCCAACAAAAATCCAATAATACTGAAATTAGGGATGCACAATAGTTATCAGCCAATGTATGTTATTTTATTTCATGTATCATATCGGATAACTGATGTATATTTATCTCTAATGTCAAATCTTTGGAATTGGACATATTTGGTTCCCCAACAGTGGCACTGCACTAAAGGTTGAGTGTTGAGTGGCATATATTACAGCCAGAGCTCTGAATTTACACACCATCAGTCTTATTCGATCCCCTCGAGTCATGTGACCCAATTCAGAAAAAAAAGTACCACACAGAAATACGTACACAATACATCATAGTGCATACTTTTACACAGACAAATGTTAGTGGAAGTCAAAGTTTTGATCCATGGTGTTCTTGAGGCTAGAAGTCTTGACAAACCATGATCCTTCATTGTGACATAGGGGTTTAGATCAACTGAAAGGTCCACCTCAAGGTCTCGCCTAATCTCCTCTGAATGTAATACATCGGTTGGAGTAGTCATGTCCATTTTTGTTGATTGGGGCATCCATTGTGCTGGCTCAGTGTCTGTGCTAGACCAAAAGCGGGCTCTTTCATTTCTATTCAAAGATGCAGCAGACAGACTGCCACACAGTGAGAAACTGAAGACCAGCAGTAGAGCTTCACTGTGAGGGGTCATGCTGACACTCCTCTGAAGATGTTATTCCTTACAATATCACCAAGCTGTCTCCTTTTGACTCTCACATTCTGCACTGGTTCTGGGAGAAGAAGAAAAAAACACGAGATGAGAACAACTAGATTCAACCATAAACTGATTTCAAATAGGCATGCACCAACATTAAAATCCCCCCAAAACAATAATCCAATTATTTCCATGTTAAATAGCAATATTAGAAATATACTTATTCAATCTGCTAATCAGTCAATCAATCTACACTTTTTTTTTGCTAAATACAATATTTATAAATTATTATAAGTCTATCCTTCTTTGCAAAACAATAAAATAAATAAAATTGTTGAAATTAGTATAAAATTATACTTTATTCAAAAATATATTAATATTTATTATAAATCTATACTTTGCTAAATAAAATAAGATCAAATCTAATCAAAATAATAAATTAGTAAAATAAAATTTGCTAAATAATAAAATACAATATAACATAAAAGGGTTAAATGTTTACAATACTCATTTGCTATCACTTTAAGTTAGTGTTGGTGTTATGATAATATTTAAATATTAACATAGGCAGTTTAAATATCCAGTACTGGTCCGATAAATATCCACATTTTCCAACAAAAATCCAATAATACTGAAATTAGGGATGCACAATAGTTATCAGCCAATGTTATATAGTATGTTATTTTATTTCATGTATCATATCGGATAACTGATGTATATTTATCTCTAATGTCAAATCTTTGGAATTGGACATATTTGGTTCCCCAACAGTGGCACTGCACTAAAGGTTGAGTGTTGAGTGGCATATATTACAGCCAGAGCTCTGAATTTACACACCATCAGTCTTATTCGATCCCCTCGAGTCATGTGACCCAATTCAGAAAAAAAAGTACCACACAGAAATACGTACACAATACATCATAGTGCATACTTTTACACAGACAAATGCTATATATTTTGCAGTCTACATGAATCAGTCCTCATTAATTATATAATTGCAGATATATTATGACTGTAACAGTTAGCAATTGCATTAGACTGATTAGATTTATGTCAAACGACCTGACAGCTGCTGCAGTGCCAGCAATGGTTCTTAACTCACATTAACCTTTTCTTTTCTCACCTTTTTGCATTTTAACTCGTTTCTTAACCATCTTTCATCTTTTTTCTGTCTCCCGAAGTGGATGCAGAATTGTTTTATTTATATTTTAGCAATAGAGAGAGAGGGGGGGGGGGGGGGGGGGGGGAGGGTGCTGGTCTACATTTCCAATTAGTGCAGCACTGTTTAATGCATCCTCTCTTCAGCAGCAGCATTCAGTGACACATTTTCACACAGAAGACCCTGAACTCACATACACATATATGCATAGACTGAAAGTTTGATTGTGCCAGAAGAGATGTGCTTACCCCGGGACGCATGGATGAAGAGTCTAAAATAGGAGTAATCCTTTTGCCTCCCATCCTGCTGCAGAAAAGATTTGATTCTGTCTGTGCCTGCGCACGCGTGTGTGTTTTAGTGCTCTCTCTCTCTCTCTCTCTCTCTCTCTCTCTAAAACACACACACATACCTATCTCGGCTTTTCGCAGGGACACACACATGCTGCCTGACACACCCCTTTTAGTATCCCATCTCCATTCTCTTTCTGTCATCAGGAGTCTGATCCCTCTTTTCTGATTCGGTTAAGCTGTGCCTCTACTTTCCAGAGCTGGATTAGCCTGTTAGGTGGTTGACTTCCTTTCTCTTACATCATTGAGTACCAGAGGCAGGTCATCTACTGCAGTCTTCTGCTCCTAAAAAGGAAAAAAAATACATGTTTACAGTACATTCATATATCTAAATTGAAGAGGATGAGCCTCTCATCCCAATTCAGTTCAGCAAATCAATATACAATATTGAATGTAATTTTCTGAATCCCTCAGAGTGTCATGCCACTGGACTCATTCTGTGTGTTTTTCCCTCTCCATGTGCCTGCCCTGACCTAGTTTTCCCATGTTGATTGCTCATTAGCTCCAGGTGTGTCTCGTCATCCCCTCGTTAAGTCGAGTGTATTTATAGTGAGTCCTGTTCTGAGTTCTTTGTCTGGTATTGAAAGTTCATCTTTCTCCACTACGTGTGTGTTCCTAGTTCCATTGGATGTTTATTAAAGTCTGTTTGTTTGAAGTTTACTCCACGTCTCCTAGTTCCTCGCTCCGTGCTCCTCACAGTAGTGGCATAGCGTGACAGAATACCAGACCGAAACAGTTACCTCCGTGTGTTTCCTCCGTTTTTGTTTCCGTTTTTACCAAGTGTTTGTTGTTTCTGTTGTGCCCATGGATCCTCTCGCCCGCCCTGAATACCTCCTCCTGCTGCTGGAGCAGGGGGAAAAAGCGCTCGAGGGCCAAACCAGACTGTTCCTGGTCCTCGCCAACCTCTCCAGCTACCCGGATGTCACGCTCTGTGCATTCTATGATGCCAGTCTAAACCCGGCATAGAGAGCCTCGTCCGAGGAAGGCCCTCGAGCGAGTTTGCCGCCTTTGTGGAGTGAACACTGGAGAGACACGGATCCCCATTCACCGTCTGTCCCGAGGTGAGCTGATTATACATCTGGGACTGCTGTACTTCGAGGGGGATCTTATTGACTGGGAAACAGAGCTGGAAGCCGACTTGCCCCCTCTCCTATCTCCTTCGTCCCTGCTAGTCCCTTCCAGCCCTGAGTGGGATCCCGTTTCCCAGTTCAGCAAAGAGAGGGCTACTGTCTCCACATCAAGAGTTAAACCTGTATCCTGTCTTCTGAGTAACATTGAGAATATCACTATATATTGTTGCAACACCGCCGCCAGAGTGGGTTCCAGTCCCCGAGTTTAGCCCCGAGAAAGTTCCTGTTCCCATGTCTAGCCCAGAGAAAGAACCTGTTCCTATGTCTAGCCCAGAGAAAGTTCCTGTTCCCATGTCCAGCCCAGAGAAGGCTCCTGTTCCCACTTACAGCCCTGAGAGGGCTCCTGGTCCCAAGTTAAGCCCGAGGCTCACAAATGCCCACCCACCCACCCTCTCCTGCCTCTTCCACCGCTGTCGTCTGGCAGCACCTCTGCTCGTCCTCAGCTCACCATCAGCATGGTGCGAGCTCCGCGGGACTGCCATCCTCCAGCGTCGCCGTGGCTGAAGTACCCCCCCCCCCCCCCTCTCCTGCCTCTTCCACCGCTGTCGTCTGGCAGCACCTCTGCTCGTCCTCAGCTCACCATCAGCATGGTGCGAGCTCCGCGGGACTGCCATCCTCCAGCGTCGCCGTGGCTGAAGTATCCTTTGTCGGCTCCACCATGGCTCCTAGCTCCCTCCTCTCTGCCGTGGCCCGGCAGTCCACTAGCTCCGCCAGGCTCCTTCATCCCTCCGGCTCCGCCTTGGTCTGGCGTCGACCATCCTGCGCCTCGGGATGCCACTCCTCTGGCTGTGCCTCATCCCTCCGGCTCCATCAGGCTCCTTCATCCCTCCGGCTCCGCCTTGGTCTGGCGTCGACCATCCTGCGCCTCGGGATGCCACTCCTCTGGCTGTGCCTCATCCCTCCGGCTCCATCAGGCTCCTTCATCCCTCCGGCTCCGCCTTGGTCTGGCGTCGACCATCCTGCGCCTCGGGATGCCACTCCTCTGGCTGTGCCTCATCCCTCCGGCTCCATCAGGCTCCTTCATCCCTCCGGCTCCGCCTTGGTCTGGCGTCGACCATCCTGCGCCTCGGGATGCCACTCCTCTGGCTGTGCCTCATCCCTCCGGCTCCATCAGGCTCCTTCATCCCTTCGGCTCCTCCTCTGTCGCTCCGGCTTCACCATGGCCTTTCGTATC